CCTACCCCCCCCCCCCAAAAAAAAAAAAAAAAAAAAAAACAACTATAAAGATAACATTCATTTATCAATTTACTCCTAGAAGATGGAAAACATCACAGAAAAGGTTAACTTAACATAAGTACAGATAAAAATCTATACATAAGGTATACATATACATAACTTTCTTTTCATTTGTACATAGCAAAAGAGATATTTGCGAAGGTAACCCCTTTTACTAAGTTTAGGTGACTGTGCATTTGTGGCTTCACTTTTAAAATATTCATAGACTTGCTGGCAGATAATACAACACCCAATGAAAATCAAGTTTAAAGGTCTCTCTTTTTATAATTTTTTGGCTTTCAGGCAAACAAAACGAAATGAGAGCTGTTGTCATATTAAAACTTAGCTAAGAATAGGAAGTTGCATCAGCACTCCTGCCAAAGATTCTTCTATTTAGCTACAGCTAGATTTCCATTCATGGCGAGGAAGTATAATATACAAGTGGCATTTATCGCTATTATTGTGGTGGTTCTACTTTATTTTAAACAAACAAAAATTAAAGGAGTTTTAATAAAGAATCTATATTCTGGAACACCAAAGACTGGGAGAATTTCTGCAAGGACACAGAGGTTCCCGGCCATCATTTCTAACCTGGTGAGTGAAAAGGAATGGGAAAAAATCAGCTGTGTCCCTTTCAAGGTGGATCGAAATATATCCACTCCCATTTGTATTTACAATTTGACAGAAGGGGATAACCTCTCCAAAGTACTGTCCAGAGGAACAGTTTGGCAACCACACCTAATAAAGACAATTCAGATTTTAAAGAGAGACCCAGAACTCCAACTGATTGACTTGGGTGCTAACCTTGGAACCTGGACTCTTTCAGCAGCACGACTTGGACGAAAAGTTCTGGCAGCAGAAATGTTTCCTCCGACTGTCATACGTTTACGCAAAAGCATTCAACTAGGAAACCTACAGGACCTAGTGACATTAGTTCCAAAGCCTTTGTCAGATACAAAAGAAAATGTTACCATTTATCTCTGCGGAAAAAGCAAAATGGCCATCAACATCTTGATGCGCAAATGTAGCTCGCCCTCCCCTTATGTTGCAAGTACAATAACTATGGATGACCTCACTGCCTATTTGCCAAATGGATTCATAAAAGCTTTCATGAAAATAGACATTGAGGGAATGGAATTAAGAGTTTTTAACAGATCGGATCATTTCTTGAAAACCGTGGACGTTCCTGTTATTTTAATGGAATGGAGGTTCTATATAAGGTCGACTCTGGAACCAAAATGCAGCTACTTTATATCCTTCATGAGCCGCATGGATTATATTCCCTTCAGACACCTGGCTGGACCAGCTGGTAAGTTGGGTCCACTGCTGGAAGACACACACTGGCTCCATATTACAGACCTGTACTTGATCAAGAAGACATACTTGAAATCAAATTTTGCACACCTTCAGTAAAAACTGAAAACACTACAGCTGAAAAATTTTATGCAGAGTAATGTGATACATTAGAGCACAGACGTGTTCAAGTTCAAAGAAAGCACTGCAGATGAGGTCAGAGATTTTTTCCCCTGGACTTATTATTTAGCGGGATTCTGATTACTAATTATCATAAGCTTCCAACAATCAATAATTACAAAACAAAAATGAAGATAAGATTAATTTTACAACTTTCATTTAATCACAAAGAAAAGGCTCTCTGACTTGGTCCCAACTTGATACCCATGTTTGTATTTCTAGGAATTATCAACAAAATATTGTTTGTGGACTATAGCTGGGTTTTATTGAAATATGTGGTAACCATTTACATAGAGGTAGGGCTATTTTCATTATTTTTATCTTACTGGTGTTTGTTCATTTATGTTTTAGCAAAGGTCAGTAGATTGGCCAATTTAAAGGTATATGTTTGTTTTACCTTTTTGTCAGAAGTAAATGTATAAATCAATTGAGGTGTTTTTTTTTATTATTTATTTTGCTATAAAGCATGAGTGTTCCCTTTATTTCAAATTGTACCAGTCTGTTGGTGGGGGGACCTTCCTATGACTACCCCGACCCCCACATAACATAAAATAACTCTTTATAATAAAACCGCAGGGGTTGGGCACAATGGGCTCACAACTTTGGATAATGCGATCTGTAATACTGCTACGGAGATTCCCAGTTCCATGCTTAAAACTCTGCACACGGAAAAGAATGAAACGACTCCATGTTGTAACTTCAAAAGAATATATTTTGCTAAACTAAAAGTTACAAGCTACAAGCATGACCTCTCTTCCTGTATATCTGTCTCTCTACTGAGTTCACAGGTTTTTATGCTAAACTTTATCAATTGAACTGTCCATCACATAACTTATAAACTGATTGGTTACTTCAGACACAAGTCCACCCCCTCATGGTGGGCACCCCCTAATAACTCAATGTAATCAAGCTCTAACAGATTACTAGCTTGAAACAAAGGACATTAAAATTTGAATTGCTAGGTGTGAAATATTATCTGAAGTTACTTATACAACTTGGCTTCCCATGTGTGGATTTTATCAAACAATGGATTCCTCTGATTGAATTAATACTACATCATGTTAAGAACTAATTTCACCTTTTTCTATGCTGTGGTTCCTGACATGTTGTCTTCAATAAACATGTCAAGATGTCCACGTGTTAGAACCTCATACAAAACGTGAATGCCCTTTTGTTAACAAAAAAATAATAACAATAAATTAATTAATTAATCAATTAATTAAATAATAATAATTAACAAAAAAAGGCAGCAAAGCTGTCAAGCGGACAGACAAAAAAATGATAAAGGCATGACAGTTGAACACTCTGCAAATATACAGACAAAAATGACAGAGGCAAGCCAGCAGAATGGTCTCAAAATGAACCACCAATTTAACAATGAAAGTGCACAAAATATTTCTGTCAATAATGATGCAATTTTACAGAATAACTTTTTTATTATTATTACTAAGGACACTTAGAAAAATGTAACTAGACCAGGGTTTCAGGTGCAAGGGATTTTGAAGTCACAACTGGAAAAATGCTAACTGATAAAAAGAATCACAAAAACAACTTCATCAAGAAAAAAATCCCATTCAATCAAGCTGTTTTTATTAAATCAAGCTGTATTTTGGGTCTGTGAACCATTCTTATAGGTATGAAAATAATAAGTAACATGGCTTTCCTTTAACTGCAGCTGAGTTAAAGTGATTTGCAAGCATAATATCCAGGCTTTAAAGGTTTCAATCTATCAAAACATACAATGGAATGTTTAGATTATACTGATCAACAATAAATCCAAGTAACACATCTATCCAATAGAATTTATTCCTTATTATACATAAGTCAAGAAACTAAATACAATTCTTGGAAAAAAACATATGTTTCCCGTTTTCAGCTTAAAGATATCAGTTCAAGAAATTATTAATGAAATGCTTCCACAAACCTTGCATCCTAAAAGCCCACTGATTTCATTCTTTCATATATTTTCTTTTTTTTGCTTCAAAGCTTTTAATATATGTATATCAAAAGTAAGCAATCATACATTACGTCAAAATCTTAATCTTGGTAGTCATCTCTGTACACACAGATAAAGTTTGATTTTAATCTCACAAGATAAAAAGAATATCCTGGGCTTTGTTATAGATAAATAAGCTATGATTTGAAGTGATAATCAAGACAAAGCTTAACTGGTAGCTACCTATAAAATTATGGAAAGTAGTTTAATTCATCTGAATATTCATATACTGGAAGTTTCAGTAATCTTGCTTTAATTATTCAAATTGGTGTATCTGCTTTACACCAACAGAATTTAGGCAGGGCCTCTGTCACCCCTCATGATACAGATATTAATTAAAGGAATTCTTACTGCAACTCAGTACAGGGTCAGCACTCATGTTAGGGCGCATTCCCATAGATTTTAGATCAATCTATCCCCGTGGGGAGTCTCACTAGATTACTGTTTTTGGCTTTTATCTGAACAAAACCAGAATTGTTATCATACTAAAACCAAGCTAAGAATAGGAAGTTGTATCAGTCCATTGCTTGAAGACAAATACTGGCTCAAGGTAGAAGACCTTTATTTGATCAAGAAGACATACTTGAAATCAAATTTTGTATGCCTTCAGTTAAAACTGAAAACACAACAGTAGAAGAATTTTATACAGAGTAATGTGATTCGTTAGAGCACAGATGGGTTCAAGTTTAAAAGAAGGTTAAAAATGGCATTGTTTTAACAGATAAAGTCAGAGATTTTATATGTCAGTTTGTTTCCAGGACTAAACATTTAGGATTTTGATTACAAAGTTAAGTTAAGCTTCTTAAACCCCCCCCCCCACCCCCCCAAAAAAACCTATGAAGGTAAGATTAATTGTTAATTTACACCTAGAAGACAGAAAACATCACAGAAAAGGCTAACTTCACATACATACTGATATAAACCTATACATAAGGTATACATATACATAAATTTTCTTTTCATTTGTACATAGCAAAAGGGATATTTATGAAGGTAACCCCTTTTACTAAGTTTACATGACTGCATTTGCTGAGTCACTTTTGAAATATTCATAGTCTTGTTGGCAGATTTATGTGCAACACGCTATGAAGATCACGTGTTCCAATCTCTCTTTTTGTCATTTTTGGCTTTCATCCTAACAAAGCCAGAGCTGTTGTTACATTAAAACTTAGCTAAGAAAAGGAAGTTGCATCAGCACTCTTGCCAAAGATTTTTCCATTTCTGCAGCTAGATTGCCATTCATTATTGACATGGCAAGGAAGTATATACAAGTGGCACTTATCACTATCATTGTGGTGGTTCTACTTTACTTTAAACAAACAAAAATAAAAGGAGTTGCCATAAAGAATCTGTTTTCTGGAACACCAATGACTAGAAGAACTTTTGCAAGGACACAGAGGTTCCCGGCCATCATTTCTACCCTGGTGAGTGAAAAGGAATGGGAAGAAATCCATTGCGTCTCTCTCCAGGTGCATCCAAATATATCCACTCCTATTTGTATTTTCAATTTGGCAGAAGGGGATCCCGCTTCAAGAAAGCTATCTAGAGGAATATTTTGGCAACCACAGCTAATAAAAGAAATGATAGAGATTTTAAAGAGAGACCCAGAACTCCAACTGATTGACTTGGGTGCTAACCTTGGAACCTGGACTCTTTCAGCAGCATGACTTGGACGAAAAGTTCTGGCAGCAGAAATGTTTCCTCAAACTGTCATCCGTTTATATAAAAGCATTCAACTGGGAAACCTACAAGACTTGGTGACATTAGTTCCAAAGCCTTTGTCAGATACAAAAGAAAATGTTACCATTTATCTCTGTGGAAACAACAAAATGGGCACCAACATTGTCAAAAATGCTAAAGTGATGCGCAACTGTGGCTTGGCCTCCCCTTATGTTGCAAGTACAATAACTATGGATGACCTCACTGCCTATTTGCCAAGTGGATTCAAAAAAGCTTTCATGAAAATAGACATTGAGGAGATGGAATTAAGGGTTTTCAACAGGTCGGAACATTTCCTGAAAACTGTGGACATTCCTATTATTTTAATGGAATGGACGCACCACAGAAGGTCGATTCGGAAACCAAAATGCAGCTACTTTATTTCCTACATGAGTCACATGGGTTATATTCCCTTTAGACACCTGGCTGGACCAGATGGTAAGCTGGGTCCACTGCTGGAAGACAAACACTGGCTTCAAGTAGGAGACCTGTACTTGATCAAGAAGACATACTTGGAATCAAATTTTGCACAACTTCAATAATATCAGGGGTAATATCAGGGGCGGATTGAGGCTGTCTTCTGGGTCCTCTGGAGAAAACGGTCAGATTTTCAAGTTTACATTAACGGGCATCTAATTTATTCTGTAGGAAGACAGTCAAAAATGGAAGATGGATCAACAAAGATCATTTGGAAGACTGTCAGAAAATATCTCTGGAACCACCCCTGAATATGATTCATAAGAGTGTAGAAGTCTTCAATGTGATACACATTTTATGCTTGTGTTTCTTGGAATTAACAATAAAACATTGTTTGTGGAAATATAGCTGGGTTTATGAAAAATGAGTATATGATTTCCATTTATACAGAGGTAGGGATATTTTCATTATTATTATTATTATCTTACTAGGGTTTTGTTCATTGGCCAATTTATAGGTATATGTATGTTTTATCTTTTTACCTGAAGTAAATATACAAATCATTTGAAGCGTTTTTTTTTTTCTCACTCTAAAGCATGAATGTGCACTTTATTTCAAATTGTCTAGGTCTGTTGTCTTCAATAAACATGCAAAGATGCCCAGGTCATAGAGATATGTCCAAAATAAATAAATAAATAAACAAGGCAGCAAAGCTGTCCAGGGGACAGACAGAAATGATAGAGGCATGACAGTAGAACAGTCTCAAAATGAACCACCCATTTAACAATAAAAGTGCACTAAATATTTTTATCAATTTTAATGCAATTTTATAGAATAATATTCATTTTTATTACTATAACAGAACACTTAGGAAAATGTAACTAGCAGGGTTTCAGGCAGGGAGCAGGGAGTTCAAAGTTAAAACTAGAAAATGCTAACTGATAGTCTTATATCTACACATTATCCAACTTCTAGTGTGTTGGAATAGACCTAAGTAGTAAGAGTAATTATCTATTTAAGATCATGTTACTGGGTAGAAGATGCAGCACAATTTTTTTCTCCAAAGAAAGGCTAAGGTATTTAGCAGAGGCTAAGGTACTTAGAAGAGACTTAGCCTTATTTAGCCTCTTCTTAATATAATCACGGTAAACTGTCTCAGTTGAGTTGTTCATTTTAAGAGACAGATGCTGCTTTAGCTCCAGTTACGAATACAACGACAGTGTAATTTACATGTGATAAAATACTGATGACTACGCAGCAACAGATGTGCAGTCTGACGTTTGGTGTTTTTATTAGATATTCATTACCTCCAACAAGAAAGTTATGTTTTTGGTTTTGTTTGTCTCTTAGAAACATCACGCAAAGTAGTGAACAAACTTTGATGAAATTTTCAAATGCAAACAATGAGAAATTATTCATTTCTAGTTCAAACACAAAATTCAATCTACTCACTTCTTCATCTGAGCCATCTTGTCACAAAATTTAATCTATTCACTTCTTCATCTGAGCCATCTTCTCCACAAAATTTAATCTACTCACTTCTTCATCTGAGCCATCTTCTCAGTGAAAGCCTGGCAGAGGTCCAGAGACTGCTGGGTGTGGGAGGCCTTCACCATACACAGCACCTTGGCGGAGTATGCGGCCAGTCTGATCTGGTAGACCATAGCCATGTCCCTCACACTGATCCCCAGGTACAGGTACTCCAGCTGACCAGTAAGGGCAACTATCTATAATGTAATGTTAATGTAAATTATTATAATTAAAAAATATAAAGCCAAAAAGTAAAACTGCCTTCCACTTATCGTGTTTACAAGGAAAGTGCACGGCGCCGGCGACGGCATCGGCATCAGCGACGACAGACGCAGGTGATGGCAATATGTACAGACACATCTGTGTCTGTACATAAAAAGACAAGTTTGTTAGGACTGTAATTATTACATTTACAGGATTAATAATAATACTCATCAGTGTTCAACTGTAAGACCCCATTCCCATACAGGCCATTGGACTATGTGGATCCACCCAAATCTGCAGGGGCTTTCGCTTAGTGCAATCAGCTCAACTGAACGACATGCCTCCTCGAGCAACCAGGGGGTATTTAACTTTTGTGTGCGCTCGTGTGCGCTCTAGGAGGCGTGTTGTTCAGTAAAGCTGATTGCAATTAACGACAGCCACACATAGTCTGATATGTCTAATAGATGGAAATATTCCCTTAAATTCCCATCAACAAGTCAGTCTTAGGATCAAGTCCCTTTGATAAAAGATTAAAAACCCATATCTCAAGGGTTTAATAGTAATTAAAAATAACAAATTTAAATTTTCTTTTTTACGAGTTTTAAGCTTGTAACACAACCATTTTAAAAATATACATATGTAATCAAGTATTATTATTAGTATATAAATCCTATAAATCTAAAAATCTGTACTCTGAACACCTATGAACACATTACTAATTTAACAAATTATGTCACAGTCATCAATAGTAATCATCTGTGGATATACAATGTGGGCTCTGACAATGAATGTGGGTATGTATAAAACCATATACTTTTAATTTATTTAAATTTTCTAGTATGTGCATGTTCTGTCGAAGTCTGAAATTAATATTGTTCTGTTTCTATGTTTTTTTTTTCACATTATTCTGAAATGATTTTCCTTACCCTTTAATGGTAAGGTTTTCTAGGACACACAAGAATTTGGAAAGCCTAATTTATATTAGAAGAAGCCTGAGCTGTAGCATTGGCCCCATGCCAAGTCCCAGAAGAAAATAAAATTCAAAATTTATTCAATTACTGGCCATAATTGCTTTTGCCTTGGGTCACTCTGCTGTCTCAATGGGCCAGTTGGCTGCAAAGTTTTTGCCACACACACAGACTTATGAAGATAGTATTATATTTTGAAACAATATAGAAAGATTGGGACAAGACAATGAAACTCCAGGTTCAAAATAATACCTTTTCTATCCTTTGGGCGCTGGAAGATTGGTTCCTGAAATTGTTGTTCCCAAGAAACTGAAAAAGATATAAATCAATCTTAACAGATGCAAAAGAACTTCAGTCTTATAATAACAATGCTTTTTTAAAACTTAACAATGAATATAAAAACTATAAGGAAAAAATAAAATATCAAAATAAGGAAGAATGATAGGGAAGAAATACACTTCAAAATGGCATATGTAAATAAACATATGGAATGAAAAATGTAAGCATTGTCTTATTAAGTACATTTTTGTCATACTACATTCAGAAACTTTTGTTTGTTTCATTTCACTTCAGCAAGACAATGTTTCATTCACATTACCTGTTCTAACATGAGCTTTAGTTCAATAAACATGCTGATACACTCAGCTGTGGCCTCCTGCTGGGGTGACAACTCTGTGATTCTCTGGAGGTCTCTGCAAATGGTTGAAACACAATGCCTTAATGAGTAAATCTTTTATACTAAAATAACAGCATAACACAAAGGGGAAAAATGTGCTCTGAAATCTAAATGAAATAAAAAACCTACAAAAACATGACAAAGAAAAAGAAAGAAAAAGAAAAGAAAAAAGAAACATCGTTGACCTGTAGTAATTAATTTGTAATAATGTTAATTTTTTTATAACTGTAATTTATGAGATGAAAAAAAAAAAAAAAACCATCAAAGCCCACAACCATAACAGTATAAAACATACTGCTTGACCATGGCCAGCAGCTCGTGTCCAGTCTGTTTATCCATGAAGTCCACCTTGTCCAGTCTCTGTAAAGTCTCCTTTAAGAACTGCTGTGTGTTCACAGATTGTCCACCAGGGGGCTCCACATCACTGGAGGCAGTATGTCCATGTAACTGGATAATATAACAGTATATCCGTGTAACTGGATAATATAACAGTATATCCGTGTAAATGGATAATATAACAGTATATCCGTGTAACTGGATAATATAACAGTATATCCGTGTAAATGGATAATATAACAGTATATCCATGTAACTGGATAATATAACAGTATATATACGTGTAGCTGGATAATATAACAGTATATCCATGTAACTGGATAATATAACAGTATATATACGTGTAGCTGGATAATATAACAGTATATCCATGTAACTGGATAATATAACATAAAGATAAAATGAATGTGGCTAGATGTGTGTATACTTTCACTGTGTGAGTAGGGCTATACAACACCTTTATTCTGTTGCCTATTTTTTTCTTTCTTTATCTGCAGGTCTCCATACCTATTCTACAGTAATAACTCACTAAATACAAACAATGTAAATTATACATTTTCCCAAAAATGTTTTTAATATTTATAAATTAGTAACACTTGAGATTTTGATTTTAAATTACTGAAAACTAAACTGACTTTGGCTCATTAAGTATAGTTCAGTGTGTTTCTAAAAGTAATAAAGTTTGAAAAAGTAAAATATTAGAAAAAGGGTATTTCATTGTGTGAGTATTTACCTTTTTTCCTTACCTGTAAGTTAGGCACCATATGAGGCAGGCTATCTATGAACTCTCTATATCCACCTTATTTCTTCCCTTACCTGTAAGTTAGGCACCATATAAGGCAGGCTATCCCTGAACTCTCTATGTACACCTTATTTCTTTCCTTACCTGTAAGTTAGGGACCATATGAGACAGGCTATCCCTGAACACTCTATATCCACCTTATTTCTCCCCTTACCTGTAAGTTAGGCACCATATGAGGCAGGCTATCCCTGA